AGCCATGTGGTTCTGGTTTTAGAATCAAGAATACAAGAAAGGGATAGTGGAATCTCCTTCTGTGGCTAAGGAAAGCAACTGAGGTCAGGTGTATGTCAGGGCTGTTCCTGCATGAAGGTTCAGAGAAGCCACTGAGTGAAGCTGTGAAGATGAAGCTTGGATTGTGTTGGAAATACAAAGATTTTGATGATAGTAGAGGTGCTGGATATGGGCCAAAGAAAGCTGTAGACTGTGTGTTGAACCAGCCCAGGGGAGAGAAGCCCAACAGAATTTAAAGGAGTCAGATCTGAAGTACGCTCTGATATCACACATGGAGATTCAGGCTTGGGAGTTCGCTCTGCTGGTTTTCAGCTTTGTTTGGTATATTTTTTCTCTACTTCCTTTTCTCCCTTTTAGAATGATAATGTATATATTCTGTATCATTGTATGATGGAAGTATTGATAGTCTTTTTAATTTTGATTTTACAGGGGATTATAGTTAAGAGATTTCCATGAGTCTCTAAACAGACTTTGTACTTTAAAAGCCTTAAGACAGAAAGAATATGGGAACTTTTGAAAATGGACTAAACGCATTTTGAATTACTGTATAACTACAAGCATATGGGGGCGATGGAGTACAGAGTGGTGGTTTGAATAAAAATGATCATCATAGGTGGATATATTTGAATGCTTGGTCATCAGGGAATGGCACTGATTGAGCAGGATTAAGAGGTGTGGACTCATTGGAGTAAATGTGTCATTGTTGAAGGAAGTGTGTCATTAGGGGTAGGTTTTGAAGTTTCAAAAGTCCAAACCAAATCCAGACTCTCTCTCTTCTTGAGGCCTTTGGATCCAGATGTAGAACATTCACCTTCCATGTCTACCTGCAAGCTGCCATGCTACCCATCATGATGGCACTGAACTAAACATCTGAAACTGTAAGTAAGCCCCAGTTAGATGCTTTCCTTTATGAGTGCTGCTGTGGTTCTCTTGGGCATATAGCCAAAGGATACACAATTACACCACAAGGAAATTTGCTCAGCTAAGCTCATAATAGCATTACTGTATTACCCAGATCCTGGAAACAACCTAGATGCCCATGAACCAAAGAATGGGTAAAGAAAATATGGTACCAAAACTCAAGTCCAAATGGATCAAAAACCTCAACATAAAGCTAGGCACACTGCACCCCGTAGAAGGGAAAGTGGGAAGTATACTTGAATGCATTGGCAGAGGAGACCACTTCCTATATAACCCCAGTAGCACAGACACTGAGAGAACAGATTAATAAATGAGACCTCCTGAAACCGAAAAGCTTCTATAAAGCAAAGGACACAGTCAACAAGACAAAACAACAGTCTACAGAGAAAAAAGACCTTCACCAACCCCACATCAGACAGTGATCTGATCTCCAAAATATGCAAAGAACTCAAGAAATTAGGCATCAAAAGAACAAATAATCCAAGAAAAAAAAAAACTAAACAAAGAACTCTCAACAGAGGAATCTAAAATGGCTGAAAGACACTTAAGGAAATGTCCAACATCCTTAGCCATCAGAGAAATGAAAATCAAAACAATTCTAAGATTCCATCATACGCCTGTAAAAATGTCCAAGATATTCACCTTCCTAGATATGGATGGAGGGGGGAGGACCTAGGACTTACCACAGGGCAGGGAACCCTGACTGCTCTTTGGACTGGAGAGGGAGAGGGAAAGGAGTGGGGGGAGGGGGAGAAGGGTGGGAGGAGGGGGAGAAGGGTGGAAGGAGGGGGAGGGAAATGGGAGGCTGGGAGGAGGTGGAAACTTGTTTTTTTTTCACATTTTCTCAATAAAAAAAAGATTTAAAAAAAAATCACTGATGACAACTTGTGCTGGAGAGGTTGTGGGGAAAAGGGAACACTTCCACTTTGCTGATGGGTGTGCAAGCTGGTACAACCTCTTTGGATATCAGTATGGCAATTTCTCGGAAAATTAGGAAATAACCTTCCTCAAGACCCAGCAATACCACTTTGGGGTACATATCCAAAGGATGTTCAATCATGCCACAAGGACATGTGCTCAACTATGTTCATAGCAGAATTGTTTGTCATAGCCAGAACCTGGAAACAACCTGAATGTCCCTTGACCAAAGAATGGATAAGGAAAACGTGGTACATTTACACAATGGAGTACTACACAGCAGAAAAAAATAACATCTTGAATTTTGCAGGCAAATGGATGGAACTAGAAAACATCATTTTGAGTGAGGTAACCCAGACCCAGAAGACAACTATTATATGTACTCACTCATAAGTTGTTCTTAAACATAAAAAAAAACAGCCTACAAATCACAATCCCACAGAATTTAGACAACAATGAGGACACTAAGAGAGATTTACAGAGATCTAATCTACTTGGGAAGTAGAAAAAGACAAGATCTCCTGAGTAAATTGGGAGCATGGTGACAATGGGAGAGGGTTGAAGGGGAGGGGAGAGACAGGGAGGGGAGAGGGGGAAAATGTAGAGCTCAATAAAAATCAATAAAAAAGAAAATGTGGTATATTTACACTATAAAGTATTATTCAGCAGTGAAAAATAATGACAGCTTGAAATTTGCAGGCAAATGGATGGAACTAGAATAAAAACTCATTCAGAGTGAGGTAGACCCAGACCCCAAAAGACAAACGTGGTATGTATTCACTCATAAGTGGGTATTAGATGAAAAGCAAAAGCTATAATCCACAATCCCAGAAAAGCTAGGTAAAAGGGACTTACATAGCTAAGATCTCCTGGGTAAACTGGGCTAGGGTAGAAGGGAGAGGATGGGGATGGGGTCATGAGGGATAAAGAAGATTAAGTTGGGGGAGGAAAAGAGAAGGAGAGCAATGAAAGAGAAATCTTTATGGAGGGAGCCATTTGGGGATTAGGGAGAAACCCGGTGATAGAGAAATTCTCAGGAATTCACAAGGATGACCCCAGCTAAGACTCCTAGCAATAGTGGAAAGGGTGTCTGAAAGGGCCTTCCCCTTTAATCAGATGAGTGACTATCCTAATTGTCATCATAGAACCTACATTCAGTAACTGATAAAAGCAGATGCAGTGACCCACAGCCATGCACTGGGCTGGGCTCCTGGAGTTCAACTGAAGAGAGGGAGGAGGGATCATATGAATAAGGGGGGAGGTCAAGAGTATGATGGGAAAAAACACAGAGACAGCTGACGTAAGCTAATGGGAGCTCATGGACTATGGACTAACAGATGGGGAACCTTCATGGAACCAAACTAGACCTTCTAAATGTGGGTGACAGATATGTGGCTTGATCTGTTGGAAGTGGCACCAGGACCTATCCCAGGTGCATGAGTTGGCTTTTTGGAGCCCATTCCCTGTGGTGGGACACCTTGTTCAGCCTTATACGGGGGGCTGGGCTTGGTCCTGCCTCAGGTTGGTATGCCAGAGCTGTTAACTCCACAAGGACGGCCTTACCCACTCTCAGGAGTGGATGGGGGATTCAGAGGGGAAGTGGGTATATGATAAGGGGAGGGAGGGGAACTGGAGTTGGTGTGTAAAATGAAAAATAAATTTTTAATACAAAATATGAAACAAAAGAGTTGCTGCAGTCCAAGAGCCTCTTCACAGCATAGAACACTGACTAAGACACACAAAGAACAAGAAATCAGGGGACAATCCCATTCATAGTAGCCTCAAAAATTACTTTGGAATGAGGCCCCTCCAATATGTAAAGCTTCTCCAGTGAAAACTTGAAAACACTGAAGAGAATGACCCTAGCAGATGTAAAGCCTTCCCATGCTCATGGATCAGAAGAATCAGTATTGTGAAAGCAGTTATCCAAGCGAAGTAATCTACAGATGCAATGCAATCAAATTTCCACAGACATTCTTCACAGAAATAGAAAAAAAAAACCCAACAACCTTATAATTCATATGGAAGCACAAGAGGATAGTTTCAACAAACCTAGCAGAAGGAACATTGCAGGGGGGTTCAAGTCATACTACAAAGCTACAGTCATAAAAATGTCATGTTACTGGCACAGAAACAGCTTCATAGACCAATGGGACAAAAGAGAGGACACAGTTACAAGGACACACAATTACAGGCACCTGATTCTTGACAAAGGTGTGAAAAACACCTTGGAGAGAAGACAGCATTTTCCACGGGTGGTGCTAAGGAAATGAGGAAACCTGTATATAGGAGAATAACACTAAGTCCTTATCACACACACACCTCACAGAAGATCTCAACTCAAAATGGATCAAGAACCTCAAAGCACATTTACACATTAGAGTACTACCCAGTGGTAAAAAAAAATGACATATTGAATTTTGCATGCAAATGGATGGAATTAGAAAACACTATCCTTAGTGAGGTAACCCAGACCCAAAAAGATGAATAAGGTATGTATTCACTCATTAAGTGGATACTAGCTATAAACAAACAAAAGACATTGAGCCAATAGTTTATAATCCTAGAGAAGCTAATTAATAAGGTAAACCCTACGTAAAACATATATAGATCCACCTGGAAATTAGAAACAGACAAGATCACCTGACAAAATTGGGAGCATGAGGGTGGGGGGAGAAGGGAAGATGTAAGGGGAAGAAGAGGGGAGAAGGAAAGGGATGAGGAGAACTTGAGGAAGTGGGATAGTCAAGATGGTGGAAGGACAGAGATAAGAGCAAGGAAAGAGATATCTTTTTTTTCCTATTTGAAAGAACAATACCATTAGTTACAAAATTTAATTGTAAGAATAAGTAATGATTATTGGTCAAGCCAATCTACTTTGATAGCTCTAAAGTGTACAGATGCTAATTCTTAAACAAAGGTGACAACAGCAACTCAACGTTCCCAGCATTGCAGGATCTACATAGGCGTGACTCTGAACATACAGCAGAGGGGGTGGCAGTACAGTCATCAATGATTAATCTGAAGGCCTAATTTCCTAAACAACTTTTAGTAACAAATTATAACTTTTTAAATGTCTAAAACTACACAAAATCCAAAGTAATCTATTTTGCTACCTGAGATCAAAACAAGTTTTCTTTTTCATATCTAAACGCAATGTCAATCCGATCTTTGTTGGTATCAGCCTTTTCTGTGATCCTCTGTATTTGCTGGTTCTGAGCATCAGTCATGTCCAGAGCCATGTTCTTTAGATTGCCTAGAATACTGCCCACTTGAGTCAGGTTCTCTTCCATCTCATCTTCTCTGGCATCATTAGTTATACGTTTAATGTATCCACCGCTGGCTGTTCCTGTGGCTTGCTGAGGCTGACCATTTGTTACCCGTCCTGGTTGCTTAGATACTACATTGCTAGGTGAGTTGTCTCCACCATCTCCCCATGTTGCCTTATAGTTCTTTCCAGACTCGAAGTTCTTCGTCCTATTACAAGGGCAGACGCAAAGGCCACAGCACTTGTTGAGTTCTGTTAAAGTCTTCTCTGCCTCTCTCATGTCTTTATTCATTTGGTCCATGCATTCTTCTATGTGATTTAGTTGTTCCCCTTGCTCATCCAGTATAGTGATAGTCTTGATTCCCGCATCCTGAGACTCTATGGCTAAGCCCAGGATTCTCCTTGTACTTTCCAGAGACTCATCGGTAACCTGGTTATCCCTTAGCTGAATTTCTTCTGACGACAGATTATCCATGATGGATCAAAACGACACAGGCAAGTAGGATAAAAGAGACGATTTCATTACCTGTTCACCTGTACCACAGAGCCAGGAACTCAGGCGGGCTGCTCCTGCCTCTCCTCTCCAGCCCTGGCAGATCGGACACTCCTAGATAGGACCCGGTGCTCGGAAAGAGCTATCTTGATTGAGGGAGCCATTATGGGGTTAGCAAAAACCTAGCTCTAGAGAAATTCCCAGGAATCCACAAGAATGATCCAGCTAAGACCCTAAGCAATAGAGGAGAGGCAGCCCAATATTGACTTGCCCTGTAGTCAGACTGATGAATATCTTAAATATCACCATAGAGCCTTCATCCAGCAATTGATGGAAACAGAGGCAGAAACCCACATCGGAGCACTGGACTGAGCTCCCAAAGTCCAGTTGAAGAGTGGAAGGAATGAGAATATGAAAAAAGAGGTCAAGACCATGATGAGTTCACTCACTGGAACAGCTTACCTGCGCTAATGGGTGCTCACCAACTCCAGCAGGACTGTGAAGGAACAAACATAGGACAAACTAGTCTTTCTGAATGTAGTTGACAGTTATATGGCTGGGACAGACTGAGGGGCCACAGGCAGTGGCACCAGGATTTTACTGCAGGTACTGTGTTTTTGCAATCCTAATCTCTTTGCATGTATACCTTGCTCAGCCTAATTTAGTAGGGAGGGCCTTGAACCTTCCGCAAAGCAATGTGCCTTACCTTCTCTGAGGATTAGATGGAGGTGGGTGGAAGTGTGTGTGGAGGGAATGGAAGGAGGGTAGGGAGTGGGAACTTGGACTGGTATTTTTTAAAAATCTAATAAATTTTTTTAAAAAAAAAACCTCAAAGACCCCATACTTTCAAATTGCTAGAGGAAAGGGAACATGTTAACTTACAAGCATAAATAAGGACTTTCTGAATTACTCAAGGAAATAAGACCCTTAATCAACAAATGGAATCTCATGAAATTAAAAAGCCTCCTTACAACAAAGGAAAGTGTCAATCAAATGAAAAACAGTGTATGGAATGGGTGAAATCTTTGTGGGTTATATGTCTGTCAGATAGTTATTACCTGTCTTAACCTGAACATGAAGAAAACCAACAACCAATTAAAAAGTTGACTACAGACTTGAACTGAAAGTTCTTCAAGGAAGAAGTACAATAGTCAATTTTTAGGAGCTCAGCATCATGACCATCAGGGAAATGAAAATTAAAACTACTTTGAGATTCAATTTCACCATAATCTGAATGGCTAAGGTTGGGAAAACAAATGATAATAAATCCTGGTAAGGGTGTAGGGAAGGGGGAGTGCTGATCTGTTGGTGGGAGTGGGAGTTGGAGCTAGTATGGAAGTCAGTGTAGAGGATGCTTAAGAACCTAAAAATAGGGCTGGAGAGATGGCTCAGAGGTTAAGAGCATTGCCTGCTCTTCCAAAGGTCCTGAGTTCAATTCCCAGCAACCACGTGGTGGTTCACAACCATCTGTAATGGGGTCTGGTGCCCTCTTCTGGCCTGCAGGCATACATACAGACAGAATATTGTATACATAATAAATAAATAAATATATTATTAAAAAAACTAAAAATAGAGCAACCATGTGATTCTGCTGGACCATTCTTGGACATATACCCAAAGGATTGTGTATCCTCCTGCTAGACCACTCTTGGACGTACACCCAAAGGGCTGTGTATCCTCCTAATAGACCACTCTTGGACGTACACCCAAAGGGCTGTGTATCCTCCTGCTAGACCACTCTTGGGCGTACACCCAAAGGGCTGAGTATCCTCCTGCTAGACCACTCTTGGACGTACACCCAAAGGGCTGAGTATCCTCCTAATAGACCACTCTTGGACGTACACCCAAAGGGCTGAGTATCCTCCTAATAGACCACTCTTGGACGTACACCCAAAGGGCTGAGTATCCTCCTAATAGACCACTCTTGGACGTACACCCAAAGGGCTGAGTATCCTCCTAATAGACCACTCTTGGACGTACACCCAAAGGGCTATGTATCCTCCTGCAGAAAAATGGGCTCCTCTGTGTTCATTTCTGTTCGATTCACAGAAGCTAGGAAATGGAATCATCACCTGATAAGTTGATGAATGGATCATGAAAATATGGTATATGCACACAATGGCCTTTTATTCAGCTATAAAGAAAAATGGGATTATGAAATTTTCATGAAAATGGATGGAACTAGACAATATGATACTGTAAGGTAACCCAGGATTGTCCAGACAAATGTCACATGCCTTCTCTTATATGTGGATCTTAGCTTTGAATCTTTAGATTTATGTGTTTAATTTGGAGTATTTGTAGAGCTCAGAGAGCTAGGAAGAGCTCACAAGATGGGGAAGAGGTCTTAAGAGGTGAGAGCATATGAGACTATGTGGTTATGAAAGTAGAGGGTGGACACTGGGGTTAAAGGTTTAAGTAGGGGTGGGGGCAGAAGAATGAGGGAGGGGAGAGGTTCGGGTCAGTTAACTAAAGCCAAGGAAAACCCACTACTTTATAAGCTAATTTTTAATAGGAGTTTGAACACTGGTATCTTGAGTGGGTGGACAATACTTCCCCCAGAAAAGCATTTTATCACTAGTAAGTAGAATTCTCAGTGTCAGGCATGGCATACTTCCATATGAGGGGCTGGCCATGCAGGCCCCAGAGGTCCCTCAAACAGCAAGGGCTATTGCTATTGCTCTTGGCTGCCCACCAGAACTAACCGGTCAGGCCCAATTGCTGAAAGTACAACATGCTTTGACTGCAGGACAGAGAGAAATCAGGCAGGAACTGACCCAAAAGCTTCATCCCTACTGGCTAGCTTTCATATTGCTAAAAAGTGCCGTGCGGGCGTCACTGTTCTGTTACTGTGAAGAGACACCATGGCTCAGGCAACACTTTTAACTGCTGACTTGCCTATAATCTCAGAAGTTTAGTCCATTATCGTCATGGCAGGGAGCATAATGTTGTGCAGGCAGACTTGGAGTTGGAGAAGAGTAACTGGGAGGGCTACATCCATGCATGTAGACAAGAATGGGGACACTGGCCTGTGGGCACCTGAAACCTCAAAGCCCACCCTAGAGACACACTTCCCCCGACAGGGTCACACCTACTAGACCTTCTCAAACAGTGTCACTCCCTGATGCCTAAGCGTTCACGTAGATGAGCCTATGGGAGTCATGCTTATTTAAGCCGCTAGAGTAGACCACTGTGAAAGAAAACCATTGATGCTATTACCCGGAAAAGAACCCTGCATGCTCCAGGACTGACCAGCCAGGCAAAATGTGCTCACAAAGTGTGCATCCGTGCCAAGAAATGCATGGGAGGTAAGCAGTCACTTTAGGACTAGATTTGAGACTTCATGCTTGGTGCAGCAAACCTTGTCCAAAGCTCATGGCTTGGGAGATGATAGACCCTATTGAGGACTTTGCTATCTTGTTAAACGAGTGTGTTTGAACTGCCTTCCACATATCTGTTTATACATGCAGATCAGTGTGGCCCTCAAACTAGGCTGGAGACAATTCTCTCTGCAGTGGGCAGCAGTCCATGCAGAGGCTCAAACTGGCCAAAGTGCTGTGGACAAGTGGACAAGTGGCTGAGGGGTGCTTAGCCCTCATTGGGACTGCTCTACCTGCACACACACACACACACACACACACACACACACACACACACACACGGCCCAGGGAGCACTGTGGCAGAGGATCGGAAGGGATGCTGGAAAGTGCTGTCCTCTGGACATGTCATGGCCGTTGCGCTCACAACCTCCCTGTAGCTATGGTAACCTGCACAAGACCAAGAAAGAAAGATCAGTTAACATTCCAGCAGGCAGCTCTAATTGGACTCAGAGGGCATGAAGGGGAAGGGGGGGCTGGGAAGAGGGAGTCGGGTGGATATGATCAAGATATACAAAATTGACAATGAATAAGTCAAAGGAATGCTGTTAAATAAATAAATAATAAATAGAGATGCCAGTAGGAAGGAACTTTGGAATTTGGGTTTTGAAAACCACCCTCAATCCTACCACATCAGAGCTCTGATCCCCTGAGTGGTTACGCCAGCACAGCAAGCCTCTGCTTCTTTATATCTAAAATTGGAAAGTTGATGCCTCACACACTTGATGTAATTCAGGTTGCCTAACACCCTTCCTACCTAACCCGTAATAAACAGCTAATAAAGAACAGGGCAGCGGCAGATAGATCCGGAAGCTAGGAAAGTGGTTTCCAGAACCTAGGAAGGGTGTGAGGGAGGGGGACGGAGAGAGACAGAAACTAGGACAGAGAGGTGCTGGCTGGCTTCCGGTGTTCTGTCACACAGTAGGATGACAGAGAGGCGCTGGCTGGCTTCCGGTGTTCTGTCACACAGTAGGATGACAGAGAGGTGCTGGCTGGCTTCTGGTGTTCTGTCACACAGTAGGATGACAGAGAGGCGCTGGCTGGCTTCCGGTGTTCTGTCACACAGTAGGATGACCGGGCTTGACCAAGGACTGAATGTGTCTAAATAGTCAGTGGAAATACTCTGAACATGACAGCACAAACGACCGGTGTTTGTGGTAATGGATATGCTAGAGACCCACCACTACATGCTCTCATGCTCTGTGTTGATATATATATCACATAGTTATTCACACTTATGGGGTACATGCTATATATGTGTGTGTGTGTGTGTGTGTGCATGTATGTATATATGCATGTATATATGTATGCATGTATACCTGGGTAGTGGTGACACACACCTTTATTCCCGGCACTTGAAAGGCAGAGGCAGGAAGACTCTGAGTTTGAGGCCAGCCTGATCTACAGAACAAGTTCCAGGACCAGAACCACACAGAGAAACCCTGTCTATAAAAACGTGTGTGTGTGTGCCACAAATGTCACAAAATCCATCAAAATAAAAAAAGGGGCACAGAAACACACTAGAAAGAAGCCCTGGGGAAGAAAGGAGACAGACATTGGAAGGATGTGTCTACTTGGCAGGGGAGGTCAGTGCCACACAAGTCTGGAACACACAGGAGGGCATCTATGCCAGGGACTGTCTACACAGAAACTGGGCTCTTGCCTAAAGGGGGATAAGAGATGGTTTATTCTGGAGCCAAATATGAGTAACCATGGTCTAGAAACACAGATTTAGGGGACCATAAATTC